GTCACGTCTGGCATCACCATTGCATGGGAACACTGTCGGGGCCACATCTGGCACTGCCATTGCATGGGAGTGCTGCCACGGGGCCACATCCAGCACCAGCATTGCACAGGACCATGTCTGCCAACACCATTGCATGGGGACACTGCCTCAGGGCCACATCCTGCACTGATGCACGGCCCCACTTCTGGAATCACTAATGCAGAGGGATGCTGCCACAGGGCCATGTCAGCCACCACCATTGCACAAGGCCAGGGCCACATCTGGCACCACCATTGCACAGGGAAGTTGCCACCGAGTCATGTCCAATGCCACCATTGCATGGGGCCACATCCAGTACCACCACTGCACAGGGCCCTGTCTGGCACCACTAATTCATAGGGCTGCTGTGATGGGGCCACATCAGGCACCACCAGTGCATAGAGCCACTATTATGGGACCATCTCAGGCAACACCATTGCATGGGGGCACTGCCACAGGGTCACGTCAGTTGCGGCCACTGACACAGGACCACATCTGGCCCTTCCAGACTCTCTGATGGGGGCCACACCAGGTGTTGCCATTTAATGGGGACGCTGCCTTGGAGCCACACAAGGCACCACCATCACATGGGTCACTCTCGTGGGACAAAGATGAGATGGCATAGGCCACTGTCCCAGAGCCATGGGAAACATAGCTGTCCCTAAGGACCACTGCCAGGGGGGAGCTATTATCAGAGGCCCCAGTCCCTGCACAAGCCAGGAGACTCCATCACAGCATCCTTGTAGAGCACCCTGTCAGCCTGAACACATAAGGGAACACCCAGGGATAGGACCACATCGCGAGTACACCACTTGCTATTACAGCAGCCCTGTGCCATGATGAGATCCCACTCTCCTTGGGGACAGCTGCGGTAGTCAGGGCGACTGCAGTTGTGTTGTGAGGTATGTGGCGCAGGCGTGTTCTCCCATGGAAGCTGTGTGGTACAGTGTGGCAGCAAGTGAGACGGACATTTTCTATCAAAAGCATCTACCAAGGCAGCATCACAGCGATAACAAGGATTCCACCTCTAACCCGGGTCCTCTCTTGATACCAACGCATTCTGCTTTGATTATGCACTGGCCCAGAGTCAGGTGGTGTTTTAACCACAATCCCCGTGAGAGGTTGTTGTAGCAGTGCATTTCAACAACATCGTATGTTTGAATAGGCCACATTTTTAAGCAGCACAATGACATTTCGAAGCAACGTCGTTATCATGTCACGGTCTGAGGCAGCGTCCAGGCCTTAAGCCATAACAGCCCAGTTTGGCTATATGTGCCCCCCGAACAACTGTTTTGCCTCTTCAGACAGTTTGTGTTATGGGATAAGTGCACATTGCATGCTTACGTTGCAACAAAGATTCACCTCCTTGTAGTGCCTCACCGTCTCAGTGCATCTGAAAGTATGCTTGCTGCATTCAAAGCATCCCATTGCTATCAGGAGACCCAATGCCCTAGTCTTGAACAAGGCACAATCCTTTGAGCAGAACTCCAGCCATCTCCTGGCAATGTGGATCCCAAAGATCACTTCACAAAACACTTAAAAAACAACATAAAGGAAAGGCCATTTAAATTCCCTTTGGAAATCAGGAGAATTGAGCTTCTGTCTGCTAACAACCTCCCTTCCCTTGTTCTCTCTCTCCTTAAAATTCACTTCTTCCAGGAATCTTTCAGACTTTATACCAATACCTTTGGCCCACCTCTGATCAAGTTTAGCTCTGGTCCTAAACAGAGATCCACACTGGCATTTGAACTTCTATTTAGTTTTCCTTCTGGAGTGGGACCGAAGACTGAACTCATGTAGCCAAATTCAGCCTTGGTGCAATTTCTTTTATGTCAAAAGAAGTTTAACCAACCATTATTTTGGCCCTTTATAGGAGTAAAAATTTGAAACTAAACTAAAAAAATTGAAAAACAAGACATTTAAAAAGCACAGTAATCAGCTCAAACAAATAGAACTAAAATAAACTTAATTCTTTGAATATACAGTAGGAACAATGGCGAACAGCATTAGGGCTCCTTAACGTTCTTTGATAAAAAACTCTGTCAAGAATACTCCTGTAGAACACCTACTCATTTGAGACTCATCTACATGTTGAAGAGACATCAACTTGAAAAAAACAGCCAAGTTGAACATTCACCTAGTTTTGTTAGCATCATCTAAATTGTACTTGGAGTAAAAAAAATGGAACGTTTTATATTTTTGCATTCCACGGAACTTCGACTATCCACAAAGTAATTTTTGTGCACCTCTTCTAGATAATAGGGTTGAGAATTTTTTAAAAAAAAACCTAAATGACAATAAAATCATAAAAACTGTCCATGTATTTTAGGACTAGATGCAGTACCCTAATAATTGAAATACTGGTTTAGATTTTAAATTGATGTATGCTCATTTAAAAATTCAGAACAGGACTATAACTTATCTTCAACCCCATGAAAACGGATTTAAAGGCTGTGCAGATTATCATCCTGAAAAGCTAAGCAACTTCTGATTGACACTTTTTGAACAGAAAAATCTCCCCCTCCCCCACTCCTAACCCAGACCCAGCAAAGACATTTCTCTCACAAAAAGGCATCTGCCTAAGTACTCAGACCTATTTTAAAAGTAAAAATTGAGCAAACTGTGGTAAGTCAAGGGCAATGAAAAACAAACCCAAGCCCCTGATGAGATTCACTCTCCATTTTCTTTCAACAAAGAGACAGTTAGGAAAAAGGCATATTTTACTTACATCAGTGGAAATGCAAAAAATGAAAGCACCATGATCAACCTTGCTGTCCATTCATCAGGTAGATACCACAAATATACAATTAAGCAAGTACTAAGATAAAAGAACTAATGAGTAGCGAAGGAATCTCCCAAACCAAAGCCTTTGATTTTTCCTTCTCTAAATTCTTCTAATGCCTGGATTTTATCAGAATCTTTTTTGTATTGAGTGACATTTGCAATATTTGATGTGCCCAATCTTCCTGTCACAATTCCACAGCATTTTTTTAAGAACGCAGGCTGGAGAAGAGGGTCTGTCTGGAGAGCAGAATTTTCTGGTTAAAGATCTTCGTAATTGTGAGCTAGTGGCCACGTACTTGCAAGCGCTGCACACCAGACTCTCCCCTGAAGAGCGCAAGCAAGGGGATTCGGTGACTAATGTGCATTTGCGCTGCAAGACTGAACCCCAAAATAGCACCCTGTGCTTGATATATTTAAATGGCTAATGTATTTAAATACTGTTTGTTGTGAATCATCCAACCAGACCTACTGAGACCCGCTGCCACATTATTTAACTTATTCAGAGTTAAATAAATTAAAAAGTGCCCATACAAACTCTAGGTGCCCTAACAATTAATTACCGACAAAAAAAAATTGTTACCCCATTCTTCAGCCCCCCCAATCACATTTAAATCACATAATGAGTTAACTAACTCAGCCAACCAGTAAATCAAAGCAACAAAACAGCTCTCCTCTTTCCAATCCTCCAGAAATGTATCCTCAACCTTCCTCCCCAAACCCTGTCCAATTGCAGCTTGCCTGGCAAATCAGCAGGTGTACTAAGGTCCCAGACATCAGTTTTGCAGTTTACTTTTTTAGACAGAGGGCTACAGTGTACGGGCTGGCGATGGAGAACATGTTTGGTTTTTGCTTTTGTTTTTAGAAGAAGCCATGTGCTTGTTCCCGCAGGCTACTTGTGCAAACCCAGAATGATATAAGGCACAGAGTTTAAGGGCAACAGCCTTGCTAAGCCTCTGGGCATGGAATTCCCATTGACCTCAATGGGGTAGTTCTGCTCATTTGAGAGACGCTGCATTCTGAAATTAAACAGAGAAGATCCTTGCCTAATGGCTGTTTATTTGTGAAATTCTTTGGGAAGGCATTTCAGGAAAGCTACACAAAGGTCTTGCAGCTGCAGAACCAAGGTAAACAGCCACATTGCTATCTACTTAGCAAATAACACACACCAAAGAAAAATGTAAGGAGGAGATAGGAAATTTACAGACCACGCTGCATTCTGAAATTAAACAGAGAAGATCCTTGCCTAATGGCTGTTTATTTGTGAAATTCTTTGGGAAGGCATTTCAGGAAAGCTACACAAAGGTCTTGCAGCTGCAGAACCAAGGTAAACAGCCACATTGCTATCTACTTAGCAAATAACACACACCAAAGAAAAATGTAAGGAGGAGATAGGAAATTTACAGACCAGCCAGGAAGCTTCTCATTGTTTAGATCATTTAAATGGAGGGAAATTTCATTAGCTCTCCATCCTGATAAGTAAATCATTGCTACATGAGATCCAAGCCCTGCAGTAAATCTACCTTATTAATCTTAATAGTTCCAACTCAAGTCAATGGGATTTCACAGGTGAGTAGAGATTTAAAGCACCTGGACCTCTATCAGTTTTATCAGATACCTTTCTAACAATGAGGTAGGGTGACAGATACATTGTGTCAACAGAAGATAGACTCCTGCAAGAAGACCATTAGCATTGCTCTCATCGAGAGCCAGAAGATTTTAATCTGTTGGTGCGCTGTGAAATATGATGGCAAGTTAAGATGAACTGTAAGGGGACAGCAAAGAGGTCACAGAGATTTTGTCACAACAGGAAATTCTTTTCCATCAAAGGTGTAAAGCCTCTTCAATAAAAACAAAAGCAAAAACGGCTAAGAAGTAACTTCCGCACCAGAGAAAAATTAAAGACATTTGTTAAAAAAATCCACACACACATACACACAACACAGACTACCCTTAATGGATAAAAAGCTTCAGAGGGGTAGCTGAGTTAGTCTGTAACAGGAAAAACTTAAAAAACAACAAATAGTCTAGTAGCACTTTAAAGACTAACAAAACATGTAGATGGTATCACGAGCTAAGTGGGCTGTGCCCATGAAAGCTCATGTTACCATCTACATGTTTTGTTAGTCTTTAAAGTGCTACCAGACAAGAAAAAAAAAGAGACAGTGAGTAGATAGTTCAAATAATTACAAGATGCTGTTAAGAACCATTAGCACCTCCATTGATTGGTTGGTTGGTTGAGTCATTAAAAGGTGGATAAAAAGACTTAACATCCTTATAGGAAAATAAGCCTTTATTTTATTCAAGTGGTACCCAAATGCTTCATATGAATATCCAGAAAACCCACATTGAACAGTCAGTAGCTAAAGAAAATGAGGGACAATAAACCCTGCCTGTGCACACGCAGCTGGATTTTTTACTTCCTTCTGCAGAACAATACTGATGCCCAGAATCAAGAATTTCTGTTGCACTGAGATACACCAGAGTCAATAGGCTAACCAACAAATAAGAGATGAAATACAAATATATTTGAGGCCAAAATTGGAGATAGGAAAAACTGATTCTTCCCCAGCCATATGGAGATGAATGGTGTTTTCCGTTAGGGGGAAGACTTCTTTAGGACACGGTTGAGCTGGGACTCCTGACCCCGGAGGACAATCCAAAAAGAAGATACTGTCACTTTAAAAAAGAAACAAAAAAAGTCTCAAGGAATTTTCATCTGATCCCAGCTACTGGCACCTGCTGCTGTTTGCGGATCTTGTTGAACAGTTCCATGTACTGAGCCATAGTGTCCCCCGGGCTATAGATGCTGTCATGCTTATTGCCAAACACAGACGGGATTCCAGGAGTGTGATTTCCCATGAAGCTTTGCATGAACTCCATCAGCAGGTTCCAGCAGTCGTTGGCTACTACACATGGGCAGTATTCCACCTGGCAAGAGAAACAGGAGCACTGAAGCACGGAGCAGCGGACGGTAGCCACACAGGAGACAATTAACTTTCCTCTCCTTCCAAAAATATGGATGTACTCAGAGACGGGTGGTTTCAACCCTGATACCGAACACCTCCATCTTTTGTAGAAAAAGTAATTAACCAGTCTCCTCACATAAGCAAACTAAAAAGCTCTATTTGTCAAATAAGCGAAAGAGGGGGAAAATTAAATCACGAGCCAGCACTCTGGAAAACATTCAAGGACTTTGCCTTATTTTTACCTACAAAAGAATGAGGATGAGAGAAGTACAGGTTTTCAGAGAACTGCACATGTATCATAATTATGACCCAGAGACGCTAGAGGGCACAGTGGAGGTGAATGAACTTGTCTGCAGAGGTGAAAGGCCTTGTTTCAAAGGCCTAGGGCAGAAGTGGGTCTGGCACAATGAGGATGTTGCATGTCAAAAGTAAGGCAGATTGTGTGTGTGTAAAAAGGAATCAAACAGGTAGCTGTGGAAACTTGCTTAGAACCTGCTACCAACTTCTCCGCTGTCATAGGCATTACATTCGCTTATTGCAACAACAACAAAAACCCAAACAAACAAAAAACACAAGCAAAACCATCCCTGCCAGCTGACAAGAATGATGCACTACCAATGGGGGTTTAAAAATGATATGCTCTGATGTACCCACGTTGCCTTACTCAACAGAGGTGGGGTGAGGGTGTTGTTTGTAAAGTAGGGTTAAGACCAGACATGCACTTTGGAAAAAAACTGTTTAATTAAAAACACGAGCGGCTGCTCAGATTGGATCCCAAACTCAAGTCTGGTACAAATCAAGCGTCTGCTCAACCTAAGATCAACAGAAATGCTGCAGTTATTATGGCAGCAGTGTTTCATCTGCTGCGATATAATAAAGCTGTGATTAATCTCTGTTTCTACTGCCCAGAAATGCTGAAAGGCAGGTTTCGATTAGGGATGTAAAATCTCACTTAATTGGTTAACTGGTTAAACATATTGTTTAACCAGTTAACCAATTAAAGGGGGGGAAATGAGTGGGGAGGCCCACTCCAGCCTGGCTTGAACAGCCCTCCACCCCGGTGCTGGGGGCAGCAAATCCCCAGCCCTGCTAGTCTCCGGGGCGGCATCACTCAGGTGGGACTGGAGCAGGACAGAGAGGGGGGAGTGTCATGGGCAGAAGGGGGTTGTCCCAGACCATCCCTGGGCTGGGGTGGGGTTGGGAGGGGAAGAGTCACGTGGCTGGTGGCCTCCCACATGCTCACTCACCAGTCACCCCTGCTTAGGGTTGCCAGGTGTCCGGTATTCTACCCGACAGTCCGGTATTTGCGCTCTTTGTCCAGTAAAAAAAAAAATCAGAGAATACTGAACATGTGCAATATCCAGTATTCTCTTATTTTTCCAGCTCCACACTGGACAGAAGCCTGGTGTGGGCGGGGGAAGCGGCTGGAAGGCGGGGCCATGATCGGCGCTAGGAGCCTGTGATTGCGCAGAAGCCTGGTGGGGGTGGCAGGAGTGGCTGGGACTCCCCCCGCCCCCGCAGGGCCACGATCGCTCGTCCGGGCACATCAGAAAGC